ATATATTTTGACATAGATATTTACTTATGTACATAGATTCAAATTAAGTTCAATGTTGAAGTTCAGGTGAAGGGTACAAAGCGTAAACATCTGCGCATGTCTCACCAGCATTATTCAACTCGGTATAATTAGCCAAGTCTTGCCCATACCATATTAGGAACTGCTGTCCAATCGACACAACCAGAGGGGTGGGGAGCAGGTTAAACACAAGCGTCGGGGAGTTGACATGAGCACCGTCAAGTTGGTAGCTATAGTCAACACTACATTTCGCAAACTCAGCAAGTGGAAGAACAGTCTTGTTGGGGTAAGTTATCACCGTCAGTAGTCTATGATTTCTCAAATATGGGTGTAAACATCCCCACTTTGTTGATTTGTAGTAAGTATCACATGTTACGGTGCCATTTGTATGGACAAGTTTGAAAGTGTAGATTTTACCGGCTTCTTGGATTTGAAAGGATCCGAAGTCGTCATTTTTTGTCCCAAAGTAAACAGGATCGGTGTTGATCTTTTTCCAGTTATCTATTAAAAAAATCGATAGGTTTTAAAAATGAAATTAGCAAGTCAGGTCAAGGAAAGGTTTTGATTGAAATAAAGAGCTTGTCGATAGAAGTTAGAAAAAAATTCTCACTTTGCAATTGTCCAGACAAGATTAGTTAGATTAGTATTTTGCTAAGTATCGCCGCGCGTAAATGGTGTCGAAAATTGCAATTTTCTTGACCAGAAGGACGCCTCATTGAATATGACAAATGTGTGACAGATATGAGCGTTAGCTGCGTTAGCTGCGTTAGCTGCGTTAGCTGCGTTAGCTTGTATTGCACAATTGCAAGCCACACTTAAATGGTTAACAACACTTTGGCGATTGATAAATCAAATCTTTCAGCTTTCTTCTGTTGATATGGTGTAAAGAGGTGGAAAAAGTGTAGCGTAGGTTACTTAAATAAGATTTCGTGTTCAGTTAGAAATCAAGATATACCTGAGCAAAAGTGCCGTCCATCTCCAAGGTGTCCAGACTGACAGCTGCAGTCGAATGATCCAGCGGTGTTTTTACAGTTGGCCGCATCACGACAGTCATGGCTACCATCGTCACACTCATCGATATCTAAACATAGTAAAATCAAATAGTAAAAATTGAAGGACTAAACGAACTTTAGGCAAAGTACACCTCGCGTGAAATTTCTCATAAATAGGGGAATGAAATCCAATAGAGCTAGAGGCCAGTAAGTGTAGCAAACTCCATCCGTGGAAATTCTGCTCATGCCATATTTGAAGACTTTGTAATCAACAAACTTTTTTAGGCGTGGAATGTGCAGTGAAGTGATAATAGTAGAAAAGAAGAGAAAAAAAGCTAACAAGTTGGTAGCCACGTTCGGCTTTTTTCGTCTTTGTTTTTGGCCTCTGCCTTTGGCCTAGATAGATATTCTTAACAAGGCCTAATGAGCTGTAGATGATATCTATCTTGGTGGCCTATATGCCTACAGAGCAAGCGTAACCACCACCATGGGATAAGTGCGCATCTGTGGCTTGAACATGCCAATCAGTTACCTCTCGTATCCCCATATATCTGCTACTTTCTGTCGTCAATCTCTGTCTGTCCGTCTCTTAATCTGTCTGTTTGAATAAGATATAAATGGTAGCTGACCTAATTTTATCAACTTTCTCTTATTCGATATGCAAGACCTACTGTCACCACCATTACATTGTTGCTGGTCTTTATGTGTGTCCACTGTTTTTCTTTTTGTCTTTGTTGTCTTCTTCTTTGTATGCAAATCTTACCTTGACAGGTCTCTCCATCGTCAATATATCCAGGTCTACAATGTGAGCACTGATATGAACCCAAAGTATTGACACATTCGTGCTCAGCGGGACAATCGTGTTTTCCTGATACGCATTCATCAACATCTACACAGAATTTAAGAAAAAAATCAAAGCTAAAAACTCCCCAGGATGAGACACCTCGTCCAACTTTATGAAAGTGGCCCTGTGTATCTGTGTACTTTTCTTTCTGCTCCTCTTCCTGCCTGTCCTTTTCACATCTTTTTTAAGTCAGGATTCTTTTGCTTGTTCTCCTGTCTTTTCTCCGTGATGTTGCACGAATAATTTTTTGGAAATTATAGCTGCTTAACTTTACTGTAAAACCAATTAAATATTGAACTGTCTGAACTCATCATTTTAGAGGTTTTTCTCCTCACCTGTTTTACACTGAACTCCCAGATATCCAGCAGGACAGATACAGCGGTATCCATGATTACCAAAGCCCGCTTGACATGAGGCGTGATTGGCACATGGAATGCTCTCACAAGGATTCTGAAAAGATGAGAAGAAAATAGATCAATTTCTACAATAAATCAATTTTAAAAATATGAATAGATAAATAAATAAAATCAACGGGAACAACACTGTACCCGAGTTTTTTTTATTCGTAAATTGATCACCTTTGTAAAACTGAATGTTACCAGGCCGTACTTACAAAAATTTCTGTGTATACAAATCCGCTTTTGTCTTTGAGGGAGGCGGGGACTTGTAAGTAGGTCCTGTCATTCAGTTCACATGTGAATGTTCCATCTGACAGTGGACCATAGTTGTAGGACACGCAGTTTGGTTCAAGATAGCATCTCAATTCACAAATATCCTTGTCTGGAAGTTGATCTCTCCTAATGACGTGATTTGTTAAGATCTTATTTTTTGTTCCTTCTTTGAATTCAATCACTCGACAATCATCTGAGGGAGGAAGAAGGAATAAGGAAACCAATGAGAAATATAATCAGCTATGTCAAAAAAGCATGAACAGGTGGCAAACCTTTCCATATTATGGGCAGTAATTCAGTCAAATTGCTTTCAACGCGAAAGCCTTTTGTACGGCATTTACATCTCCAAAAGGTAATTTCTTTCGACCTTTTTTCTTTTAGGAGAGATGGTCAAAACTAATACTCTTTTACTCACAATACGTGAGGGTTGATATCAAACAATTATATTGTGAAGAGAGTAAATAATTTATTCCAGGGGAAAATCACCCTTAGAAAGGCTTCAGGTGTAATTGCAGCCGAAATATAATGATCTTGGATGGTGTGTGGTACTCAAAAGAGCTAACAGTGGGTTACTATCTTCTGTTTTTTATAATTTTGTTTTCGTGGAAGTTAACTCTTTTTTTTCGCACAGTAGATAACAGATATGGAGGGCTGACTACATCATATCCTGAAAACGTGAATTCTTACGAGCCATACCTCCCATGCTACTTAATCCGCACTGGTTATTTGCAGAAAAACAATCCAGACATGTAAAAAGAGCCAAGAGTAGGTAACATTTCATTTTCTCCAGCATTTTTCCTGTTTAAAAAGTTAAGAAATATTTAGGCAATTTAAGCGAATCTAGGAAACGTGAGACCTATTTTTAACAGGCAGTAGTGTGCTGTTTCAAAAAATTAAACTTGTGAGGGAGGAAATATATCAAGCTACTTTCAACATCGTCCTTCTTTTTAATCAACTGCAACTTTGCCTAATTTTAGTTCAGTTGTCTCAATAATATTTGTGTGTCGTCGGTCTGAAAGAAATATACCTCTCTACTTTTTTCTCATAATAATTCGGTTATAGTTGTTACATTTCATATGATACTTTCGCTCAATAAAACTGTTAACAAGAACTATTCCTACCTTTCAAGCAGAAATTCAATTTCAAATCTTTGGGGCGTTCTATGATGCCGAACACCTGAAGACCTGTTTTTATAAAGAAATATCGGTGGACGCACATCAGCTTTGGTTAATTGATGAACGAGTTAGACAAACACTTTTGGGAGGAAAAAATCTCCCTAGCAAAAAATGTGCTCATACTTAGGCTTGAAAATTTGAGCAGCTGCTTGATGGCAAACTTTAAATAACGACACTTAGCCTTTTATTATTTTTATTGTAATTGCGAATGAAAAATAACAATGGGTGGGTATCAAATTCAGAGCAGGCTTTCTGTAAACTTGAAACTTGGCCGAAGCAAATTTCTTCAGTCTTCCGCTGGGAGTTCGATTTCCTCTTATGACTTACGCAAATAATGGAAAAAACTGTCTTACCTTTTAGCCCTTTCACTCCTTGAAGCGATTACCATGTAACTTCTCCCTATAGTATAAACAGTAAACAGTTGAAGAAAACACTCAAACTCATCAGGTACGATTTATTAGCTTGATTGAACACCTAACTCTCGTAACCAATTTACAAGGAAATGTGTAGTAGCTAGAGGGGAGAATTGACATCAGATCTTGGGAGTTAAAGGGATAAGAGGAGATATATTTTCTTCCCTTTAGAAGAAGTACACCTTCGGAAAGGGATGTACCATTTCATTCTATACTAACCTACTACAGCTACCAGTCTTGTGCAAATAGGAAGTTAGACACAAAGAAAACAAGGCAAAGATGAAATGCAGTAATTTGGTACTATCTAAGACTCAAACTCTTGTGAGTGACTCAATTTTTTAAGTTTCTATTTAGTACTCAATGCTGCTTACTCACGTTTTGCTGAAGTTGAGGTGCGGCGCCGTGAGAGACGAAATTCTAACTAAAAGAATAAATTCAATTCATTTTATAATCGAAGTCTTCTTTATCTTTACCGTCCTAACTGCTTAAGGTCCCCCGTATGACTATTTCATGAGATATGATTATTTTATGAGAATGATGAAAACATTGTCAGAGATCGGCAACGGAGGTCAATTGATAACCCCCAATTGTTTATATTTTCTTTTCTCTAAATTAGCTCTAAATCGTTTGCCGAAATTAACAACAAGACGACGAACTCACGAAAACAAAATTAATTCAAGAACAGACGTTTTCTTATGAACGGATACTGAAGTGGTATAAGAGTTGGCGGTTCGAGCTTGTTTCATGAAAATGAGCTGAAAATGAGCTGAAAATGCAACTCTGTAATACTTTCCATATGATGGAAATAATTTGATGGAATTATGTCATGAGAATGACTGGTTATGAAATTGAAAGATTTCCGAGAAACAAAAGACGGTTTTATTTCAAAGAAATGAGACTCACATTTATGGCCTCATGCGGTTGAGTGATTCTTTAAAAAAAACAGGAAGTCAAAAAAGAGATTAAGTTTTGCTCGCTTACCATCGCATGACATTTCCACAAAAACAGGAGGTCGATGATGTAATACATAGGGAACTTTCCCGGGGAAATAAGTTGCCAGTAATCGGATCCTTGCGTTTGAGCACAGATTTGTGTGATTGTCACGAGGCAAACATTGTAACTCGCTGGAAAGGAACGTGTGGCGAGAAGTTGTTTGGACGTCCAAAAAATAGGGAGTCTGGCGAGAGATTAGGGCTTTTCCGCCACAATTCTATCATATATTACACCAATTTTGAAATCACTGGTGGTCCCTGTAATCTGATTGGTTCCAATTGATGCAATTTATTCCCGAATCGCACCATTCTTTGCTTTAAATCGCATCTTTTTCCCAGCCAATGAGGAGGCTACACTAAAAACAAAACAACCAATCAGATTTCAAGGCTCGTTTAAAGTAACCGATCAAACTGGAGGAAATTGAAAGACAAAGAATATCATGTGGCAAATTTTGCAACTTTTGTTTCCAAACTCTTACTTTTTCCCCCCCCCAAAAATGGATGAATTTAATTTCAGACCGGCTCAGTACTGCATCAATAAAATATTTGAACTGACCAAGTCCTGTATTTGGGCAATTTCAAAATGGAGGTAATATAGTGGTAATTGAACATCGTCTCATGCAATTTTGGTCTGAAATCATACTTGTGATTTCAAATCGAACTCACGCTGCGCGCTCGTTCGATTTTAAAAATCACGCGTATGATTTCATCCCAAATTGCACTCCACTAAGTTCAGTTACCATTATAAATGGATGAAGATAATGTTGATACGAGGGAAGTGTTAGTTTTCGTTGGAATTACCACGAACTATGTTCTGAAAAATACCGAAAAACTTCTCTCTTTGCGTAAGGTCTATTGTGAAATTGTCATCGAGTAATGGTCTCGACATTGGCCAAAATTGCTAGAAAATAACTGATTTGGTCTTTTTAGTTGTATTTATATATGTACAACTACTACTTTCCAACGTATTCAATAAGTAGAAGCAAGATCGCGGGAACTCTTGCAGAAACTGTGGACATATCATCAGTTGTGCATCGCTCCTTAAGAGACCAATTTGTATCACCCATCGTACAAAACAAAGGGCTCAGTTTTGAGACCATTATCAACGCTGATTCGTTCTCATTGATTTCAAAAAAGAAGCAGTGTAGGTGTTTTATAACTTTATTGTTGCTGGATTGAGCTCCTGTGAGATCTAGTAAGAACTTTTTTTGAAATATTTGCAGAGTTCGCGGAACGATCCCTTTCGAAATGTACGCTCGCCATCATTTTTCAGTGAGGGTCTACCGCCAAATCCTCCAGTATTTGTTTGTGACTCGAGCGCATTGTCCATTGTCCATGTTTCCCATACCTGTCGCCAAGTCGAGCTTCTCTTTAAAAGCACTTCCAAAGTGAACTCCACCATCAAAGAAAGGCATAAAAGTGCGCCCTGTTTTGCTACCTTACACCGTGTAACGATTCCCGCGTGACAGTGTTAACACTACTGTAAATATATGAATATCATATATGTGAACTACGGTTTTAAGCTATGAATATGAAAGCGATCTTCACAGTAATGAACACTTATTGAGCAGTAATGAAAATAGGGCCTGAAAAAATTCAGGCCTGTACGGGATTTAAATCCATAACCTCTGCGATACCGGTGCAGTGCTCCACCAACTGAGCTAACAAGCCAATTGGGAGCTGGCTACTATATTGGTCTCATACATAGATACATAGATTTACAGAGATATTTACATATGTACATATATAGATTCAGGTTAAGTTCGATGCTAAAGTTTAGGTTAAGGGTACAAAGCGTAAACATCTGCGCATGTCTCACCAGCATTATTGTACTCGGTATAATTAGCCAAGTCTTGCCCATACCATATTAGGAACTGCTGTCCAATTGACACAACCAGGGGGGTGGGGAGCAGGTTAAACACAAGCGTCGGGGAGTTGACATAAGTATCGTTAAGTTGGTGCCTATAGTCATCACTGCCTTTCGCGAACTCAGCAAGTGGAAGAACAGTCTTGTTGCGGTAAGCTATCACCGTCAGTAGTCTATGACGTCCGAAACGTGGGTGTGAACTTCCTCTCCTTGTTGATTTGTAGTAAGTATCACATGTTACGGCGCCATATGTATGGACAAGTTTGATGGTGTAGATTTTACTGGCTTCTTGGATTTCAAAGGATCCGTAGTCGTCATTTTTTGTCCCAAAGCAGACAGGATCGGTGTTGATCTTTTTCCAGTTATCTGTTAAGAACATTAGTAGGTTTTAAAAATGATATTAGCAAGTCAAGTCAAGTAAGAGTTTGATCGAAATAAAGAGCTTGTCGATAGAAGTTAGAAAAAAATTCTCACTTTGCAATTGCCCAGATAAGATTAGTCAGATTAGTATTTTGATAAGTATCGCCGCGCGTAAATGGTGTCGAAAATTGCAATTTTCTTGACCTGAAGGACGCCTCATTGAATATCTGTGACAGATATGAGCGTTAGCTGCGTTAGCTCGCATTGCACAATTGCAAGCCACACTTAAATGGTTAACAACACTTTGGCGATTGATAAATCAAATCTTGTAGCTTTCTTCTGTTGATATGGTGTAAAGAGGTGGAAAAAGCGTAGCGTAGGTTACCTAAATAAGATTTCGTGTTTAGTCAGAAATCAAGATATACCTGAGCAAAAATGCCGTCCATCTCCAAGGTGTCCAGACTGACAGCTGCAGTCGAATGATCCAGCGGTGTTTGTACAATCAGCCGCAAAGTGACAGTCATGATTAAACAGATGAGTATTTAAAACTCTCCTTGATGAGAGGCTACTTTATTAACAGCTTTATTGTGTAACTTTAACTGTGGACCTGGGAGATGAGGACCTGCTATCGCGAGGAGTTTCCTTTCTCACCTATTTGGCAAAGCTCTCCTTCATATCCATCAGAACAAATACAGCGGTAACCATGACTGCCAAACCCCGCTTGACATGTAGAGTTACTAACACACGGATTGCTCTCACAGGAATTCTAAAATGCAAAAGATGAATCAAGTAATTAGATAGATAAAGCTTAGATAAGTAAATAAATAGACTGAGTATTTAGATAGATAAATAATAAAGTGGGTAAATAAATAAACGAGGAGGATCAACTTGAAACAGAGGTTTCTCGCTTGCGGAACGATCATCCTGGTAAAACTGATATTGTTATTTACTTACAATGATTGCTGTGTACAAAGAGCCGTTCCTATATTCGAAGTAACTGGGAGAGACTTGCAAATGAGTTCTGTTACTTAGCTCGCATGTGAATGTTCCATCTCCCAACGGACCATAGTTATAGGACACACAGTTTGGTTCAAAGTAGCATTTCAACTCGCAGATATCCTTGTCCTTTGCTTGTTCACTTCTTATGACGTGTTTTGTTAAGATCTTGTTTTTCGTTCCTGCTTCGAACTGAATCACTCGGCAATCATCTAAGGGTTTGGAGAGAAATAAAGAAGCCAATGAAAAAGCTAATGAGAAAATGAAATCAAACAGCACACAAGCTTAAAGGAAGTAATTTAGTGTTAATAACTGAGTTGAAAACGTAAATTAGCCACCTTAAAGGGTAAAATTAAAGGAGGCAATATTGGTTTAAAGTTGTCCCATAAATGCCAGGGAAACTACATAATTAACTCTTGATTTGCCGCTCGACTAAAAAGAAAAAACGAATATTTGCTATGCTCTTTCATTCTCGAAAGAATGGCGGGTGATAAGCCTTTCCTCTCTTTTCTTTAGGTGAGTGACTTAGCTAAATAGCCTGCAAACTTGAATTATCCAGTAATCATATTCATTCCACCAGAGAAGTTGCTTTTTCGAACAATCATTTTTTTATTTACCCATTACACTGAAGAACAAGATTGATGTTCACTGATTGAGATTTTAAATAGGATTTGGTTTTCAAATAAGGGGGTAGGTTTCTAAGGAAACTGTAACGCTGCATCGGTGGGGGTAGAACTCAATAACCTTTAGCGCTTCGCTCTGGAACGTCAACTTTAGAAATTTATTACGATAGCAAATCTATGCTATTACTCCTTTAGCTTTCAAGGTCTTCATCAGTGTCTCTTTTCTATTCTATTTATTATTGAACATCAGCAACTCAAAAATTGTGGACATACCATGAGGGGACAAATGTCGCCGTGAATCCGCAATAACTTTACTAACAGATATTCTTTCCACGTTCACGTTTCCTTCAAGCCCAACTAAGATCACGGCATTGTAAACAGGGTAGTTTTGCAATAACGTGCTATCGTGTAATATCCCATTTCTGCCATATTTACTTTGAGAATTCGAAATTTCACATTATCACTCGGAATAGATTTAAAGTTAACTTAATGAGTTTTCTCTTTTCACACACTTAATTTCTTCTTCCTTTTGTACCATTAACACAAGGATATGAATCTGATCAGGAATACAACAGTGATAATAGATGGAAATGTCGGCGATGTCGGCTTTTGGCATGAGTCACTTACCTTCATGCACCAGCACACCAAAACGTAAAATCCATAGAAAAGCTTGGACCTTACTCACTGAGCGATCACTAACGGCAGGTGAGAGCAGTACCATATTGTCCTTAGTGAGAACACCCTTCAGCTAGCTATAGCGAGCTTAATGAAACGCTGGTCTCTCTTGTAAATGCAACCAGACTTATTATTTCAACACTCAAAATAATAGAGCGAATTGCAGAATCAAAAAAGAGGAAAGTAATTATTAATGTAAGAGGCAGTTGTGAGACCAGCACCCTTAGAAGTTATAGAATTTTATTTTTTACCATTTACGAATACATGATTTGAATATTCCCATGGCTTAACTTAATTTGAAAACAAAACATTGCGTCTTAAGAATTAGAAACAAACTGTAGGAGAAAAAAAAATCACTTGAATGCGTGATGTTAGCCTTTGGAAATAACTAATTAACCGTTTGCCGAAGATTGCCTTACGCAAGACGTTTTTCAGTGTTACCAATTTGATGTTTGCATTAAATGAAATTGAAAATCTGTCGAGTGCGTTCAATTGCAGATTAATTTATTAAACGATCAAAATTAAAAAAGGTTGAACCGCTTCAAAAAACTCCATGACAAAGACGTGCGAGAAGGCATGCACATTTATTCCCATTAAAAAAAAAATATTTTACAACAAGATGAAAGCTTAAGGAAATACTTGAAACAAAGAACATGCTGAATAATGATAGATTTATTTTTGTGGAAATGAAAATTGAAAAGACCATCAACCCTTTTTTAAGCTAAAATATTTCAAGTGATAAACCCAAACTTGAACACCTACGCCTCTAAATAACCAAATTCAAATAAGAAGGAGGGTAAAATTGAATATAATTAAAGTGAATCCACTTGATGTCAATCACATAGAAAATTCTCAATGTAGATTAGGTTGGTGTACACTTACAAGGCTCAAGTTTGCACCTGACGTTTGTTTACCTCAAGAGTAAAATTTTTTCTCGTCTTAACTCAACTATATCGCCTTGGTGTCATGAAAAAGGCTGATTTCTTGCCTCGTAAAAAGCGAAAAAAAAAATTCCAAAAAACCACTAAATACCACCAAACCCTAACTTAAACCCTTTGCACCTGACGTTTGTTTACCTCAAGGGTGACCATTTTTTCTCATCTTAACTCAACTATATCACCTTGGTGTCATGAAAGAGACTGATGTCCTGCCTCGAAAAAAAGGGAAAAAAAGATGAAATACCACAATGCCAAGGAAACAATTGTATCGACAATATCTTACAAGGATACCCCGTTGACCTTTTTCCAGTAATCTGTTAAATAGTTTGTCAGGTTTCAAAGAAAGCCTTAGGTTTTCGTGTCTTAGAAATGGTAACGCAAAATAAATTCAGTGATTTGTTTTAGGAAAGTAATAAAAGAATAACTTTGGTTATGTTCAAACCACTCTACTCACTCACATTTGTTTGTTTTGGGTTAAAGATCAAGATATACCTGAGCAAAAGTGCCGTCCATCTCCAAGGTGTCCAGACTGACAGCTGCAGTCGAATGATCCAGCGGTGTTTTTACAATCGGCCGCAAAGTGACAGTCATGGCTTCCATCGTTACACTCATCGATATCTAAGTAGTAATTGAATATAAGACTAATCAAGGTGTAGGGAAATTATCAGAATAGGTGGGGTTGTTTTTGCGTTTCCCAGAGTCTACTAAAAAAGTGTAACGTGCTGAGGTCGTGAAGTCACAGGTTTGCCAGAAGTTCGGCATCGTTCTGTATATTTTAAATATCCTTAAAAAAGCAACTTTGCTGATTATGATGTGAAGGCAGCCTTCTCTGTTACATAAAAATGTAAAGACTGACCCTTTTTTAGCAGTGATTTTAAGGACAATTGACCTTGCGAAACGCATCAGTTATTTCTGACTTGCAAGACTAGTGAAGAGAGTAATCAATAGCTTTGCACTTTTATATAAAATAAATCTTCCCTTGGCAAATTTTACCATTGCCAGTAAATCCAGGCTTGCAAGAACACTGATATGAACCCACGACATTAACACAGTCGCCTTCAGAGGAACAATCGTGTTTGCTTGATGTACACGCATCAATATCTACACACGAGTTACACGAGACGGAAAACTAAGACGTATGAGCTCATAACATTAACACAACTGCCATCAGAGGAACACTTCTCCTTGCCTAAGACGCATTCGTCAATATCTATTCAAGATTAAAGGAAGATGAAAAAACCATAATGTTCCTTATTTTGACATAGATCTTATTCATCTAAAGTGCACCTCCATCGTATTAATCAATTATTTCTGTCAGTTTTTGCAAAATTTCAAATATTTGCTTTCAGCACGAAACTTATACTTTTATTCGTTTCATTTCTGTTCTTGCCCTTGCATCAAATATCTACAATTGACAACATGAGGCACTTTTCCCTTCATATCACCCATTCTTATTCCGATATTCTCTTACTTTCTCGTTTTTCTGTAGGCTCCATTATCTAGGATTTATCACATCACGACAGTAATACTTTGTATCGCCCCTCGGTTAATGCGGCAGAAGAACATCTTATCACGACTTCTCCAGTTGTCACAACCTTGGAGTTTCAATCCTTCTGACAACTTCTAGCATTCAATTGAGAGAGCACATACTGAACAAATCTAACTTGCCCCTTGCTCTATGACGGAGAGATCCTTTAATGCAGTTATCAAGGCTGTATTGATTAGACAGATGAGGATATAAACTCTCCTTGCTGAGAGGCTACTTTATTTGCAGCTTTATTGGGTAACATTAACTGTGCACCTGGGAGATGAAGACCTGCTATCGCAAGGAGTTTCCTTTCTCACCTATTTGGCAAAGCTCTCCTTCATATCCATCAGAACAAATACAGCGGTAACTCTTGTCTCTCCATCGTCAATTTGCTCTAGTCTCTCCATAGTCAATTTATCCAGGTCGACAATGTGAGCACTGATATGAACCCAAATTATTGACACATTCGCGCTCAGCAGGAAAATCGTGTTTTCCTAATAGGCATTCATCAACATCTTCACAGAATTTAAGAAAAAAAAACCAAAGCTAAAAACTCTCCACTATAAGACATTTCTTCCAACTCTATGAAAGTGGCCTTGTGTATCTCTGTACTTTTCTTTCTGTTCCTCTTCCTGGCTGTCCTTTTCACATCTTTTTAGTCAGGATTCTTACGCCTGTTCTCCTGTCTTTTCTCCATCTTAATATTGCACGCATAATTTTTTGGCAATTATAGCTGGTTAACTTTATTGTAAACTAAATTAAATATTGAACTGTCTGAACTCATCTTTTTATCGTTAGATGTTTTTTTCCTCACCTGTTTCACACTGAACTCCTCGATATCCAGCAGGACAAATACAGCGGTATCCATGGTTACCAAACCCCGCTTGACATGTGGCGTGATTGGCACATGGAATGCTCTCACAAGGATTCTGAAAAGATAAGAAGAAAATAGATCAATTTCTACAATAAATCAATTTTAAAATGATGAATAGATAAATAAATAAAATCAAAGGGAACAACACTATATCCGAGTTTTTTTTGTTCGTAAATTGATCACCTTTGTAAATTAAAACTGCATGTTACCAGGCCGTACTTACAAAAATTTCTGTGTATACAAATCCACTTTTGTCTTCAAGGGAGTCGGGGACTTGTAAGTGGGTCCTGTCATTCAGTTCACATGTGAATGTTCCATCTGACAGTGGACCATAGTTGTAGGACACGCAGTTTGGTTCAAGATAGCATCTCAATTCACAAATGTCTTTGTCTGGCAGATGATCTCCCCTAATGACGTGATTTGTTAAGATCTTATTTTTTGTTCCTTCTTTGAATTCAATCACTCGACAATTATCTGAGGGGGGAAGAAGGAATAAGGAAACCAATGAGAAATATAATCAGCTATGTCAAAAAAGCATGAACAGGTGGCAAACCTTTCCATATTATGGGTAGTAATTCAGTCAAATTGTCTTCATCGCGAAAGCCTTTTGTACGGCATTTACATCTCCAAAAAGGTGATTTCTTTCGACCTTTTTTCTTTTAGGAGAGATGGTCAAAACTAATACTCTTTTACTCACAAAACGTGAGGGTTGATGTCAAACAATTATATTGTGAAGAGATTAAATAATTTATTCCAGGGGAAAATCACTCCTAGAAAGACTTCAGGTGTAATTGCAGCCGAAATATAATGATCTTGGATGGTGTGTGGTACTCAAAAGAGCTAACAGTGGTTACTATCTTCTGTTTTTCATAATTCTGTTTTCGTGGAAGTTAACTCTTTTTTTTCGCACAGTAGATAACAGATATGGAGGGCTGACTACATCATATCCTGAAAACGTGAATTCTTACGAGCCATACCTCCCATGCTACTTAATCCGCACTGGTTATTTGCAGAAAAACAATCCAGACATGTAAAAAGAGCCAAGAGTAGGTAACATTTCATTTTCTCCAGCAATTTTCCTGTTTAAAAAGTTAAGAAATATTTAGGCAATTGAAGCGAATCTAGGAAACGTGAGACCTATTTTTAACAAGCAGTAGAGTGCTGTTTCAAAAAATTAAACTTGTGAGGGAGGAAATATATCAAGCTACTTTCAACATCGTCCTTCTTTTTAGTCAACTGCAACTTTGCCTAATTTTAGTTCAGTTGTCTCAATAACATTTGTGTGTCATCGGTCTGAAAGAAATATACCTCTACTTTTTCTCATAATAATTCGGTCATAGTTGTTACATTTCATATGATACTTTCGCTTGTTCGATTGTTTTTTTGCCTAAATACGCTATGGAATGAACATCTCCATTTCAATTCACGCTCAATAAAACTGTTAACAAGAACTATTCCTACCTTTCAGGCAGAAATTCAATTTCAAATCTTTGGGGCGTTCTATGATGCCGAACACCTGAAAACCTGTTTTTATAAAGAAATATCGGTGGACGCACATCAGCTTTGGTTAATTGATGAACGAGTTAGACAAACACTTTTGGGAGGAAAAAAATCTCCCTAGCAAAAAATGTGCTCATACTTAGGCTTGAAAATTTGAGCAGCTGCTTGATGGCAAACTTTAAATAACGACACTTAGCCTTTTATTATTTTTATTGTAATTGCGAATGAAAAATAACAACGGGTGGGTATCAAATTCAGAACAGGCTTTCTGTAAACTTGAAACTTGGCCGAAGCAAATTTCTTCAGTCTTCCGCTGGGAGTTCGATTTCCTCTTATGACTTATGCAAATAATGAAAAAAAACGTTTCTCACCTTTTAGCCCTTTCACTCCTTGAAGCGATTACCATGTAACTTCTCCCTAAAGTATCCATACATTATACAGCAAGCAGTTGAAGAAAACACTCAAACCTCAGGTACGATTTATTGGCTTGATTGAACACCTAACTCTCGTAATCAATTTACAAGGAAATGTGTAGTAGCTAGAGGGGAGAATTGACAATCAGATCTTGGGAGTTAAAGGGATAAGAGGAGATATATTTTCTTCTCTCGAGAAGAAGTACACCTTCGGAAAGGGATGTAACATTTCATTCTATACTAACCTACTACAGCTACCAGTCTTGTGCAAATAGGAAGTTAGACGCAAAGAAAACAAGGCAAAGATGAAATGCAGTAATTTGTTACTATCTAAGTTTCAAACTCTTGTGAGTGACTCAATTTTTTAAGTTTCTATTTAGTACTCAATGCTGCTTACTCACGTTTTGCTGAAGTTGGTGTGGCGCCGTAAGAGACGAAATTCTAACTAAAAGAATAAATTCAATTCATTTTGTAATCGAAGTCTTCCTTATCTTTACCGTCCTAACTGCTTAAGCTCCCCCATATGACTATTTCATGAGGTATGATTATTTTATGAGAATGAAGAAAACATTGTCAGAGATCGGCAACTGAGGTCAATGGATAACCCCAATTGTTTTTTTTCTTTTTTTTTCTAAATTAGCTCTAAACCGTTTGCAAAAATTAACAACAAGACGGCGAACTCACGAAAACAAAATTATTTCAAGAACAGACGTTTTCTTGTGAACGGATATTGAAGTAGTATAAGAGTTGGTGGTTCGAGCTCGTTTCATGAAAATGAGCTGAAAATGCCAACTCTGTAATACTTTCCATATGATGGAAATAATTTGATGGAATTATGTCATGAGAATAATTGGTTATGAAATTGAAAGATTTCCGAGAAACAAAAGACGGTTTTGATTCAAAGAAATGAGACTCACACTTATGGCCTCATGCAGTTGAGTGATTCTTTAAAAAACAGGAAGTCAAAAAGAGATTAAATTTTGCTGGCGTATCATCGCATGACATTCTCACAAAAACAGGAGGTCGATGATGTAATACACATAGGAACTTTCTCGGGGAAATAAGTTGCCAGTAATCGGATCCTTGCGTTTGCGCACAGATTTGTGTGATTGCCACGAGGCAAACATTGTAACTCGCTTGAAAGGAACGTGTGGCGAGAAGTTGTTTGGACGTCCAAAAAAAAGGGAGTCTGGCGAGAGATTAGGGCTTTTTCGCCACAATTCTATCATTTATTACACCCATTATGAAATCACTGGTGGTCCCTGTAATCTGATTGGTTCCAATTGATGCAATTTATTCCCGAATCGCACCATTCTTTGCTTTAAATCGCATCTTTTTCCCAGCCAATGAGGAGGCTACACTAAAAACAAAACAACCAATCAGATTTTAAGGCTCGTTTAATGTAACCGATCAAACTGGAGGAAATTGAAAGACAAAGAGTATCATGTGGCAAATTTTGCAACTTTTGTTTCCAAACTCTTACTTTTTCCCCCCCCAAAAATGGATGAATTTAATTTCAGACCGGCTCAGTACTGCATCAATAAAATATTTGAACTGACCAAGTCCTGTATTTGGGAAATTTTAAAATGGAGGTAATAAAGTGGTAATTGAACATCGTCTCATGCAATTTTGGTCTGAAATCATACTTGTGATTTCAAATCGAACTCACGCTGCGCGCTCGTTCGATTTTAAAAATCACGCGTATGATTTCATCCCAAATTGCACTCCACTAAGTTCAGTTACCATTATAAATGGATGAAGATAATGTTGATACGAGGGAAGTGTAAATTTTCGTTGGAATTACCACGAACTATGTTCTGAAAAATACCGAAAAACTTCTCTCTTTGCGTAAGGTCTATTGTGAAATTGTCATCGAGTAATGGCTCGACATTGGCCAAAATTGCTAGAAAATAACTGATTTGGTCTTTTCAGTTGTATTTATATATGTACAACTTGTTTTCATACTTTCCAACGTATTCAATAAGTAAAAGCAAGATCACGGGAACTCTTGCAGAAACTGTGGACATATCATCAGTTGTGCATCGCTCCTTAAGAGACCAATTTGTATCAACCACTGTACATAACAAAGGGTTCAGTTTTGAGACCATTATCAACGCTGATTCGTTCTCATTGATTTCAAAAAGGAAGCAGTGTAGGTGTTTTATCACTTTATTGTTGCTGGATTGAGCTCGTGTGAGATCTAGTAAGAACCTTAAGAACCGTAAGAACCTGAAATATTTGCAGAGAGCACGATCCCTTTTTGAAATGTACGCTCGCCATCATTTTTCAGTGAGGGTCTACCGCCAAATCCTCCAGTATTTGTTTGTGACTCGAGCGCATTGTCCATTGTCCATGTTTCCTATACCTGTCGCCAAGTCGAGCTTCTCTTTAAAAGCACTTCCAAAGTGGATTCTGTGGTGTTTACGGCTGAATAACCACTGAGACGTTCGGTAGAAACACAACGATATTTTAATCAACCTGTAAGACGAAACCCGACTACAGAATAACTTCTCTTCATAAGGACTGCGTGTGCATTCCGAACATTATGATTGGCAGCTGTCAGAAACACTACATCTCTCCCCTTCTTGGTTGTAAACTTGAATACATGTATGTCTGGAAAAGATCGACTTAAACAACTGAACTCTAATGATTAAGAACGATAAACTGGAACGTGTTTAGCTTGTCACAAAGTTCAACTGCAAGCTTCGAGTGTCTGGTTCTATTGCACAAGTAGGACAAAGTCTTTCAGTTTTGCAGGGAGCCTTGTTTGCCTCTGAGATCGCCGCAAGGGTGTAATTGGGCTTGGAGAACTTAATGACTTGTCTTGTTCTGAAACTTCTGGTGGCCAAGGCTCTGCTGTTAGATCTTCGTCTGCCTGCCCTTGTGTTATCTTTTCAGCATGCCTTATGTGGTTCGGGACAACTTTGAACATGGATGAGTTCCGCGTGATAGTTTTATTTCCATTGCTTGCTGTAACCATAGATCCTTTCTTTTCTTCAACCACGAGAGGTATTGGACTGAACGGGGAGCTTAGCTTGTTGCGCTTTGGTTGCTTAATAAGGACTGTGTCTCCTAGCTTGATCTTGCTCTCTCTCACTCCTAACTTATGGTCTGCATATGCTTTCATCTTCCACTTCTGTTCTGCATCCCTATCTGTCATGCTCTTCTGTTTCTCAAGAACTGGTGGTGTCACTTCTGGTAGCGTAGTCTTGAGCTTCCTGTGGTTAAGTGCTTCGCACGGCGAAATTTCAGTGGTCGAATGAGGTGTCACCCGATACTGTCGTAGAAACTTGTAGAGTTCTTGTTTCCAGCTCTTGTGCTCAACGGTAGCGGCTCTCACGCACTTCCCTGGTGTCTTCATGAAACGTTCCGCTTCGCCATTAGCTCTTGGCCAGAGAGGCGTGATTTTGCGGTGGTGAAAACCCAGATGCTCAGCAAAGTTCTTGAACTCCGCGCCATTGAAGGGGGGTCCGTTGTCACTCTTTAGGACATCAGGAATTCCTTGTCGAGCGAAGATTGAGTCAAGCTTCGGGATGGTGGATCTAGCAGAAGTGGATGTGACGATTTCAACTTCTGGGAAACGGCTGTACTCGTCTATGACGACCATGAGGTACTCTCCTGAAGGGAGTGGTCCAAGAAAGTCCATCGCAAGTTCTTTCCAGGGGCGTTTGGTAGCGGTGTCATCTTTAGAGGTTCGAGTCGTTCTGCCTTACTAGTAGTTGTTGCTTGGCATGGTAAACAGCTGTCGACTTTTTTCCTTAAACTGATCAAAAACGCGCACAATCTTTAAATTTTGTTATGAAAAAAAAAATTGTAAATTCAGTGGTTGTTTCTAAGGCTTAATTTGCTCCAAATAACTACAAGTGTGATGCAGCATGAGCGTAGCTAGGCGTACCCCTCTCCCCCACTTCCTTTTCTGGTTTCCCCCTTTCCTTTGTGAGAAATTTTTCTCTTAGTGAATGGGATCTAAATATTTTGCTTCAGAGAAAACATACTTTGAGAACACGCGCGATTCCGTAGAATATAATCGGTATAATTTTTTCCTGCGCTAAATTTCTGCTTCATTTGCCTAGCATCAGTCAACGTGTGAAATCTACTCGGCCGACACACAGGAAAAAGCTGGTGAAGCCACTTCGTGCCTGGCGAGTG